AAAATACATTAGCAAATAAGTACCAAAGAATAAGAGGACAACCTACATCTTCCCTTGCTTGCAGCAAAGATGCAGACTGTGAAGGCAATAGCTCTTCTTCCCTACAACCACCCCATACTTCAGCTATTCTTCCCTGCTGCTCCACAGAGGCAGAAGAAATTTGGGGAGAGGATTCGGTGGAAGACAAATTACAAATATGATTATCGTTCTCTTCAGCATCAGTAGGAAGGGAAAGTCCAAACGGCATAGCAGCCTCAGTATTTTGGATTGGATGTTCACAGTCCTCACTATACCCTACTTCCTGCATCGGAACCTCTGCCTGGTCAATGGCTGATGTTTCGGCTAAATCCATCTCTTGCTTAACAGAATCAGTGGAATGATCAATCTCTGCTGCCAAAGAATGTTCCATAGAAGGTGATGCTGAAGAATCTACAGCATCTGGATCACGATAAACACTAGGTGAAAGTGCTTCATCAGTGGAACAACTCCCAGATGGGGATTTAGCAGATGCAGTCACAATGTCTGCATCTACATCATGCTGTTCTAATTTACTAGTATTTTTTGATGAATTTCCTTGACTACCACCGCCTCGATTATCCTTCTTCTTACGGAATTGCTGGAGCTGATAAATCGAGAAAATAAAGGGGGAACATAAATTTCAGTCTTGTACAGCCAAGTGGTAAAGTGACTGGTGCACAAAAACCATTTTCCGTCTAAGACAAATGTCCATTCCAGGTTAAAAATGATTAATCTCAGTCATATCAATCTTTAGAAAGAGAGAAAGAGAGAAAGAGAGAGAGAGAGAGAGAGAGAACCTAGGTACCAGAATTTTTAAACCCAAAAATCTCCCAATCCATGTTTTTCGCCATTGAATTAGAAACTATAGCCCAAACCTAAAATAATTAATAATCCTGGAACATAAAGGAGCCTACCAACTGAAAGTCACTGGAAACCCAAGAAAGAAAAACAAGGGGGCAAAGGAGAAAATAGAGCAAGCAGCAAAATTTTGCTTCCCAACTCGATTTACATTGAACACTGACGAGATTTTAAACTTGCTACGAAATAAGTAGAACGGATTTCACTTATGTGAAATTATGGGCTATAGTAATGGAATACTATCACATCTTCCCATTCGACTTCATAAGGCGACACCTAACATTTAATTTTAAAAATAAAATAAAAGGAACATGAACTTACCTTCTTCCTGCCTGCAGCGAGCAGATCGGAACGACTCTTGTTCTTGTCCATACGATCCGCTCCGTTTTTTGCCCCCACACTTACTTAAATGTTAATCGTCAATGAATCATTCATCTTTTCAAAGGCAGAGAAGCTCTACAGAAACAATATTTCCTCATCAGAAACTCCCAGTTCATAAGCGCTGCATTCATGCTTCCACGCCAATAAAATAAAGCAAAGTGAAAGAAATAAAAATTTAGAAAATTAAAAAAAAAAACACGAACTAGTTTCAAACGCTAGCTATCACCGCTTCGATTCAAACACAAATAACAGACCTCCTCCTAAACTATTCCACGAGTCGCACATCCCATTTCGCTTAAAATTCTACACTATTCTCAACCAGAAACCACACGGAAGAAAGCAGAAGCACCAATCCCACGGAATTGAAGCGCAAAACACGAAAAAATCAACAAAAGTAACGAGGAAAAAAACGAATTGGATGAAAGAAGGAACAGACCTTGATTGGAATCTCGTCAAGATCAACTCCGGAAGTTGGAGATGGCTTTGGATTGGAAAAAAATCGTCGTCTCCGTTCCACTCTCCCCTTCGTAATGCTTCGCTTTTTGCTTTCCAGATCTCACGCAAGCTTCGCTTTCGCGGGTGAAACGTAGAGCCGATGAACCAAATAAATTGTAATGAAAAAAAAAAAAAAAAAAAAAAAAAAAAA